GCGCACACGTTTTGCCACACTGTAGCCAGTGGGTAAAGCAGTTGCTGTAGCCTACCTAAAGTCTTTCTTTTGAAATGAAAATAAAAAATTAAAACAAACTGCAGTCATGAATATATTTTTTTATTCTTTTAGAGACTTTTTTAAAGTTCATCAGTAGCCGCTTGTGAGCATAAATATGAATGGAGCAGACCACGAGCGGACATTAATTTCCTGAATCAGTCGACAGGAGTGTTAGAATTTGAACTAGAAAAACCTGAAAACAGAAGAGAACAGAGGAGTTTTATTCACCAGCAGCTGAGAGGAGCAGCAGAAGAGAAACACACTCAGTTAAAGTCATTGTGGAAACTTGTTGAACATGTTTGAGGGTTTGGCTTCTGATGAGATAAATACAGACGGACGAGACTCAGATTTGCATTGACTCCTCCTTTTTATATTTGCATTTAGCATTTTATTAAAAATATATACTTTTTAAGTTAAAGTAATTAACTGTGTTTATTATTGAAACATTAAAAAATCTGATCAGACATTTAAGAGAAACATTTAAAATGTATGAAAACTTATGACCCAGTGGTACAAAGGTGAACACTTTTTCTTGTTAATTTAACATGTGATGGGTAATGAGCAGATAGAAATTTTTAACGTTTAGGAAACAAAATTATACAATTGCCCATTCTATACATGAGCAAACTATAATATGTAATAAAGCACAAAAAATCTGTTTTACACATAAAAAACTAAATTTTGGTTTGATTTAACATTAACAACAAACTAAAAATGGGAAATGAAATCGCGTAGATCTGCTGCTGGTTTAAACATAAAAGTTGATGATATAATTGATTTACTGCAGCTTCAAATTTTTAAAATACATGAGACACAAAATTATTTGATACAAATTAGACTGCTGGTCAGGGGTGACACTAGGTTTAAAGGACAAAGGGGCTTAGCCCCCAGGAGACGCACAGAATTTTTGTATATTATATATTTGTATTGAGTGTGTGTGTGTGTGTGTGTGTGTGTGTGTGT